ATGCCGGAGACTCAAAATCAGAGTACAGATTGCACACTGCCGCCTTCCTCTTCTGTTCCATGTTGGTTTTCACGCAGCACTTGCTTTTAATTACAGCCACAGCCAAAACCCAGCTTTGCAAAGATATGGGCACATCAAAGGGAACGTAGTGCAATCTACAGCTGAAACTGAACCACTGTGAGCTGTAGTGGTGGGTCCAAAAGGGGCAAGCATCACTGTCTTACCTTGAAAGCTTAACCCTCCCTGCAGTGCTCCTCAGGGTTTCTGATGTTCCCCCGCAGCCTTGGTGCATGCTTTCGGAACCATGACTCTAACATCTATTTGAAACTTTATTACGGTCTGTCATGCAACTTCATTGGAAATCAGTTGAGAACAAGGTTTGTGTATATTCCACAATGTCTAATGTAGTTTCTTGTTCAATAATAAATGCTCCGTCAATTGCTGCCTTTCATTGAAACTGTGATGTCATCGATTGCGAGATGCATGCTTCCTAGAGATAGTAAAACATTGGGGTGGGGGTATTGCACATAAAATCTGTGAAATACGGTAGTTATCTGAGTAGTCTTGCGAGTTTATTGCCCGTGTCTGAGTCATTGCCACAATTTAATATTTACCCTCAGCTAACTATAAAATCTAACTCATCAGTGTCCTTATGGACTTAAAATCTGATCCTAGAAATAAATCCTAAACCTACAGAGTCTGGCTACGCCCTCTTCCCTAGCACGCACAAAGCCAGAGGTGGTCTTTGGCTGCTGGGGGGACAGGATGAGCAGGCAGCTCCCTCCTCTGCTCTGAGTGTGCAGTTTGACTTCCCTGTGCTTGAAACGCTCTGATTCATTCTGCGAGTAATTAGGAGACTGTGTATCACTAAGGAAGGGCTGGTACTTTGCAGATCTAGGCTTCCTCCGGTTCCCTAAGGACTTCACAGGCAGCCAGAAGAGTATGCCGCATGGCCTCCAGGGGGCGCCCACAGCGTGCCGTCCTACCAGAAGAGCTTCATCCTGCCTTATTCTTCCTTCAAACATGTAAACAAACATAATGTATTGTAGTCCTTAAGGTTTGCCTAATGAGAGCAAAATGGTTTTAGAGCAGAAGGTAACTACATGTAAATACTTTCAATATTAGGGTAAGGGGATCGGATTTTCATGCTGCAATGGCTCTTTTCTTCAGGTAAGCAGACCTATGCCGGAGACTCAAAATCAGAGTGGGGACAAAAACCCATTCACATTTTTAAATCCTGGCTTCGTGAACGGAGTTAGAGAAAAGAGTGGTTTGGGAAAGAAGGAAGTTGGGGTTATAGTCTCTTATACCTCCAGGCAGAATTCAATGCAGGCTTGAGAGTAGGGTGGTCTTTGGAAATTCAGATCTCTTCTAGAGTGGTCTAGGAGGCATAGCACTTGCTTGCATCTGTGAGTTGATAGATATAATGCGTCAGTCTTCCCTGCTTCCTTTGGGGGTTTTTGACCCTGGTCTGATTCTTACTGACAGCCTTGACTCCCCAGGGAGGCCCAGGAGTTAGATTACTTGCTGCTTAACATCAGCACAGTGTCTAGAAAGAGGGTTCCCAAAGAACTCTTCGGTCCTATATAAAGAACCTACATGAGTCACTCAGTCTCACACTTAGACCTCGAAGGGAGCTGCATCTCTTGGCTCTAAGACCCTAACCTAGAAGAAAGCCTGGAAGCCACAAAAAACCTTGTTATAAAGTTCAAAGCTTGGGACCAGCAGGTAGTGTGCTGGTTAAGGCGCTGGACTCCCACCTGGCTGACTGCAGTTTGAATCCTGGACCTGGTGGCTTGCTTTCCCACTTTCTCAGTCTGTCTTTCTGGTCAAATTAGAAATAATAATAATAAACAATTTTTTTTTAATGTGCAATGATTGAGATGAGCCCTGTATTGGGTACCTTTTTACAAATTGTAACTGATGTTCTTCACTATTTGATTCCACCTTAGTTTCCTTACTTAGCTATTTTATCTTCGTGTTTTAGACATCGCTCCCTGAAAGTCACTTGCTCTTCTTCTACTACTGGTCTTAATTTCTAATTTTTATGGCAATCAGTGATTCCTCTTGGCTGATATTGGGGAAGACCTTCGGTGGCTTTATCCTGCACACCTAGTCATTCTCTAGCTGTTTTGTTTAAGAAGTGTGGTGTGGGGTGTAGGCGCATAGAGGGATGTTCCTGCCTTGTGGCATTTGTACTTTGTGCATCATTTCCTGGTGGGAGAAAGGTAGGCAAAGCTTATGCCATCCGGCACGTGTGGTCTCCACAGAGCATGTCCATCTGTGATGGGTTTTCCATGTGGTTTCCTTGACAACTGGGCTTCCTAATCCTCTGCAAACTCCCCCAACACTTACCAGTAACTGAATAAAACACACAACATAATTGGCTCAGTGGAGTCACTAACACATCTTGATGAACCTGCATAGGCTCTTGATGAGTATTTAGAACCAACTTCTTAAAGAGAACCAACTTTGGGACCAACAGATGGCATAATGGCTACATCTCTGAACTCCCACGTAGTTGACTGCGGTTCAAGTCTCAGACATGGTGGCTTAAAACTCATGCCCAGCACATGTGTCTACGTGCCCAAAATCCCAAGAGGAGAATGGAGGAGAAGAGATTATGACATAGCCATCCCTCCTAGGGGGTGACTTCTCAATTTCTGTCTCTCTATCTCTTCGGTGAGCACATGCTCCCTGTAGAAAAAATTTCTCAAAAAAATTAAAAAAAAAAAAAGAAGGAATAAGGAGAACCAACTTCAGAATCATTTGAAAGCAAATTCTAGAAAAATCAGAATATTTAAGACCAGAATGACTTTCAGAATCAATTAGCCATCTCTCCTGTTTTATACATGAACCCACTGGGGGTCTAGCAAATGACATATGGAGATCACATAATGACATATGGAGGTTTGTAAAGGGGGACCACACCCAAGGCTTCCTGATCCCAGTCCTGGGCTCTTTCCACTATGCCAGGAGCCATCTCTATTTTGAGCACCCCACACAGCATAGGAGGACAGGGACTGTCCCCCTGGACAATGCTGCCCGTCAGCGGGCACTCCAGACATCTCCCGACATCTGACTGGAGTTTCCCAGCACGTCATGATGTTCACGCTCCTGATATGGAGCTTGCTTCTTCAGAGAGAACAAGTGTAAGAACAGGTCTGAGCATGAGCAGCCAGGCACGGAAGCACAGAAAACGTGGAATTTCTAAACGCATTCACACTGCTTAGCCCTGTGCCTTCATGTCAAAGAGACAACATTCCGAGGCTGTCTGCTCACCTGCACTTGTACTTAACTGAGAAGCACCTACATCCTTTGGTGGCGAAACCGAAATATTACATTGGGTCATCAGAAGAATCACAACGCATTTTCGCATAGAACCACACGTCACGGCTGTTCAGGTGACCCAGTACACACTAACTAGGAGAGTAGTGAGTACAGAAGAGTGTTTTATAACAATACATGGTGGGGTTGGCCCCATAGCTTCGTGGTCAGATCCCCCTTAGCTGATCTCACGGTTCACATATGGTGGGCATATGTGTGTCCACATGTGTGCCCAAAATCCCAACAGGACGGAGAAATAGAAAAGGGACTATGATGTGACCATGCCCCACTGGGGGTGCTTCCTCCCTCTCTCTTCTGTTTCTTTGTCTCTTTCTGGTGATTATATGGCCTTCTGACAATTAAAAATAAAAAGAACGAAAGTTGAACCCTGTGCTTACTCTTTAATCCAGATGAGATGAGTCTGATCTGTGTCTATTTCATATAAGCCGTGCATTCATTTGGCACCTTCCTCCGTCATCTCTAGCCACTTTCTCGGGCCTTTGCGTCCCCGTCCTGGCTGTTGGTAAGACAGCCTGGCCAAATTCTGAGATGACTGTCTCGGCAGACAGAACCAATGTTTGCTGGTCAGCGTGCGTGTTTCTTTTCCACCCCCAACAGAAGTGGTCACTGAGAAGGCCATTGTCCCTGGGGCAGAGAGCCTTGATTTATTAATATTGTCCCTAGAAAATGTCTGATTTCTTTTCTTTGGTCTTGCTTGCCTGTCCTTGGTAGTTACTTTTACTTATTCTGGGTTATAATTACTTTTGGGTCATGACGCTCTTTTACCTAACAGGTCAGGCCCACCCAAGCGCTTATTATAATTCCCTGGATGGTGTTCAGCCTTGCAAAGACTTTGTCGGGGAGTACAGGGTTATCTTATCTTTGCCTGAAAGATAGCTTCCTTAAGTCACAGTGAGTACATACGAGTCTCTCGGTACATTGCAGTCAAGGCACTGCTTCATGCTGACACAAGAATCTTCCCAAAACCAACCTGGATCCCCCATTCCAAGGAGCAGAAATTTGATTTTTAATTCACTGCTTGGTACTCTGTATCAGCTTTTTTCCTTCTTTTTTTTTTCTTTTAATTTTGCTATAGGGCATGTGTGCTCACAAGAAAAAAAGAGAGAAAAAGCAATCCCCTGGGGGGATGGCCACACCACAATCCCTGCTCCTCCACCCTCCTCTCTGGATTTTGAGCACATAAACACAGACCTGGTGTGTCTTTCAAGTCACTGGATCCAGGACTCAAACTGTGCGGTCAACCACCCGGGGTCCAGCCTACATTACCACCGCACCACTGGCAGGCCCTGAAGATCTTAACTGACTGACATCTGCAAAGTCTATTTACCATAAACAATAACATGCATAGGGTCTGGGGGTGAGGAAATGGGCATTTGGGGGGCTCGTTATTCAGGTGACCACAGAAGCATCCCCTCTCTCTCCAGTGACCTCCTTGGGGTCAGGCTGGCTTGATGGAGGAAGGGCGTTCGTGGGTGGGCCTGCTGGTGCTCTGTGAAGAACCCAGTCCCGGCCTGCTGCCTGCAGCACCCTGCAGTCTCAGCTGCCTCCAGGGGGCAGTCAGGTGTGTCCCAGTGGTGCCCAGGGGCCAGGCCGCTGTACCCAAGATGTTTGCCAGTCACTGTCTCCACCTGCCTTCTTTCTTTCCTTTTCAGCATCGTGTTAGTGCCGGGAGGCCACAGAGTCAGCAAGCTGAGAGGGAAACTGAGGCAAGATGTCGGGCCGGAGTGGGAAGAAGAAAATGTCCAAGCTGTCCCGTTCAGCCCGGGCTGGTGTCATCTTCCCGGTGGGGCGGCTGATGCGTTACCTGAAGAAAGGGACATTCAAGTACCGGATCAGCGTGGGTGCTCCTGTCTACATGGCAGCGGTCATCGAGTACCTGGCAGGTAATATGAGCTGACAGGTTTGCCAGGCCAGTTTCTGCAGGCTCCAGAGCACAGAATGGGGCCCAGGAAGGACAAGTGACCAACATGGAAGGCAGGGAACCCACCGTCAAGAGGCTCAGAACAAGGTGTCTCTTGCTTTAAGTAGCTGCACCGCGTCAATGTCGGTGTCCAGAGAAGAGAGAGTGCAGGAGAATGGGGAGTACTGTTCCTTTTGTAAGAGGGGGGTCTTTGCTTTACATTAAATGCCTTATTACTCATCATTCTCCTGGTATAGTTAAACTGGGACTTGTCCATAAATAGCATGTATCTGATCTCAGAAGCATCTTCAGGGCCGACCTCAAAGTGCTGGGGTTAAATTCCCACATGGCCAACCAGTTCATAGGTTGGCTGTAGTGGCTAAAAGGGGGGGTTTGGGGGATTGGAAAGAAAAAAAAAAATTTTTTTTAATCTTAAAAAAGAAAAAAAGAAGCAGGACCAGCAGGTGGTGTGGTGGCGAAGGCACTGGACACTCCCACATGGCTGACCATGGTTCAAGTCTCAGACCTGGTGGCTTGCTTTCTCACTTTCTCTCTCTCTCTCTCTCACACACACACACACACACACTCACTCACTCACTCTATGTATTTCTTCCTAGTCAAATTAAGATAAATGAATGAATAAATAAAATTAAAAATAAATAAATAATAAAATTTAAAATAAATAATTAGAAGAAAAGAAGCATCTCAGGCACTTCCATAATGCTGATGTAATGTTCTAATTTTTCTCTTTTCTGAGATGGTTCTCTGTCTACTAAGGGTACATGGAAAATGATTTCCCAGATTTATTGTTAAAATTATTTTACTTTACTAAAAGGGGAGATTTTTTTACTGCATGTATTCTTTATATATTTGAGAAACTTTCTGTGTAGTAATAGCTTTTCTGTTGTTTTCTTACATCGTAGTTAAACAGCTCTCAATTAAAAAGCTCTCAATATCAAGAATGCTTTAAAATATATAAATATATATAATAGCACATAAATTAAATAGATAAGAATTTTAAAAGTACATAAATAAGTGTGATTAGTTCTTTGGAGGGTCGCTTTAGCACTGAGCAACATGTAACCAGCTTCACCCAAAGTTAACAGATTGCTCAGATACCAAAATTAAGTCCCGTGGAAAGCCCACTGAGTAGAAATGGAAACATCCCTGAACTGTCTACCCCAGGGTGCTGAACCCCTGCATCTGCAGCATTCTAGCCCCTGTGGATGTGGCAGGCTGGTCCCTGCCTCTGTCCCTGGGTTCCTCATCTTTCCAGAGCAATCTTAGCCCTCCTTTCTTCCTGCTCCTTGCCGTTCTGCACTCTTAGTCCGCTAAGTGCTCACCAGTCCGCATTTACTGACGAGAGTTTTGCCTCAATCCCCCTATAGAAACAGTCTCCCCGGTGCTTCAGTCCTCTGCAGCTCTAGCCTTCCTCCTCCTGAGCAATGAAAGGTTCCCACCTGGGCTGAGGGTCCTTAGGAGAATGGAGGAAGGCCCAGGGCTCTGTAGCCAGTCTGCTCCAGGGTGGGAGCGCAGCGCCTCTTATAGGGGAGCTCACTGAAGGCTTTGTTGGCAAGGCCTGGGTAGAGCCTGAAACTGCATTTCTTATAGGCTCCCAGGTGGGGGCTGATACTGCTGCTCCAGGAACCCCACTCTGAGTAGCAAGATTGTAGCCGGTCTTGGGGCCGGAAGGTGGCATGCTGGTTAAGGGTGCTGAACTCCCACGTGGCTGACGCCAGGTCAAGTCCTGGACCTGGCAGCTTGCTTTCTCACTTTATTTCTCTCTCTCACTCTCACTCTGTCCCTCTCTGGTCAAATTTAAATAAATAAATAAATAAATAAATAAAGTTCAATAAAATAATTCTTAAAAAAAAAAAAAAAAAAAATTGTAGCCAGTCTTTTATCCACAAACCTAAAGCCAGGGGCAATGCTTGGTCAGAGACAAGTTCCTGACTGTATCAGGAGGCTGGATCACTGGGGAGACAGAGAAGGGACTTTGATAAAGGTATTGGGTTTTGCTTTGTTTTGTTTTGAGAATTATTTAATTTTTATTTATCATTATTATGATTTTTTTTTTTAAACCAGAAGCAGACAGAGAAGGAAAGTGAGAAAGTAAGTTGCCAGGTCTGGGACCCAAACAGCCTTGTGGGAGTCTAGTGCCTTAATCATCATGCCACCTACCAGTCCCCAAGGTATAGTAAGTTTTAAAGTACCTGTTAGGTTGTATGTACTGAATAACAAAGATCCCACAACTTGCAAGTGGGGAACTGGGATTCCCTGAAGGCCTTTGACCTCAAGCTATCTACTTTTTCTGCACTACACTGCCACAGGCTTATGTAATCAAAGTTCAGTACTTCCTGTGTATCCATTTGGCAAAAGTCTAAACTTCAGCACATATACAGAATTTGGCCTTTGGCATCACTGGCATCTCTGCTATTCTTGGTTCAGGTACATCAGGTGGAGAAAGCTATTTTCCTATTCATTCATTCATTCAGCAGCATTTGCGGAGCATCTACATGTCAGTACAAACAGTAAGTCTTTAGACAGTGAGTCCTGGTGATAGGATTGAACCGTTTGTATGGTGGGCTGGACGTGAAAGGTTAGAAGAGCAAGGAGGAGCACCCAGACAGATGCTATTGCCAGGACTATCCCTATTGTCTCACCCTCCAGAACCAGCCTAGGCCACATGGAGAAGCAGCAGAGCTGGTCAGCTGAGACCCAGGCCTGTCCTTTCTTTCCTTTTGCATTCTCTCTCTCCTTCACACTCGGCTAGAGTTGAGAGAACACAGTCTTAGATGTCGGTTCAAATCTAGACTTAGTTTACCCGCTCTGTCACTGTAACGTCTCTGAGCTCCAGGTGTTTCAGAGTGAGCTCACTCGGCTTAATTAAATGAGCTAATATATGTTAAATGCTTGGTTTAGGGTGCACGTGATGAATGGGGATTCTTCTCTCCTCTTTATATTTATTTGTTTATTTAGCTCGCCAGAAAGACAGAGAGAGACAGAGAGACAGAAAGCAAAAAATCCCCCCTCCCCCAGAGGAGATGGCCACACCTCAATCCCTTCTCCTCCATTCTCCTCTCCGGATCTTGGGCACGCACGCTCGCACACATGCCATGAGTTTAAGCCACCGGGTCCGGGACTCAAACCACAGTCGACTACATGGGAGTCCAGCGATATAGCCATTAAGCCACCTGCTGGTCCTTCCTCTTTATTTCTTATTGAGAGAGATTTTTGCCTTAGGGTGCATGCGCTCGCCACAGAAAGATAGAACGCAAGAAATTTCTTCCCCTAGGGGGTGATAGCCCTGTCACAATCCCTTCTCCTCCATTCTTCTCTCGGGATTTTGGGTACGTACACACATGTGCCCAGCATGAGTTTTAAGTCACCAAGTCCAGGACTTAAACCACAGTCTATGTGGGAGTCCATTGACATAACCATTATTCCATCTGCTGTTCCCTCCTCTCCCCTTTATTAAGAGCTGATGAAATCATTCAGGGCAAAGTATGAATAACTAATTCTACCAAGGTGCTATGCAGCCACTCCCCACTTAATGACATGCCCGTTTAATGACCACTTGGATTTCTGGCCAATTCTCCAGCATGCAGCATGAGAAACCCCCTTTCTCAGTCTGAGTCTCGGGAACCCTAGTCTCAGTCTTTGTCAGATTCCCACACTCAATATTCACTACTCGAAGCCTTCACAATCATACAAGACTACATATTTGGTCTATAAATGTGTACCTTATTGTGCACCCATAGTAGTAATCAGAATAAATAAAAATGATTATGTCAGATTTATACTATTGTGTTGTGGTGTGTCTTGTCACTTTCTGGTGCGTATCTATTGTACGCTTTTTGTATGAATAGAGTTACATTATTCTAGGTGGTGTCACGTGATCTCTCTGAAAAAAATACATACCCTGTGGCACCACAGGACACCAGTCTTTAAGCTCCTTTTTCATCGACCAATATGCTAAATGACCTGCTCAAAACAGAAGTCATCATTAAGTGAGGAGTGCCTGTATTTTCAGGCCGAATTTGCATTTTGATAAGATGAGTCTGGTTGGGTTTGTTTTTCTTTTTTCTTTTTTTTTATTTTTTTAGAATTACTTCATTGTATTTTTTTTTTAATTTGCTATAAGTCATGTACATTCACCAAAGAGAGAGAAAGGGAAAGTCAGAAAACAAGTTTCCAAGTCCAGGGCTTGAACCAGGATCAGCCATGTGGGAGTCCAGTCCCTTAACCATCACACCACCTCCTGGCCCCAAGATAAGGAGTTTTAACCCAAAGGAATGACTCATAGTAGTGGAATTATAGGTCACTGCTACGCAAAATAGGGGATTTATGTTTGTTTATTTGTTTAAAGGGGCATCAATTAATTTTGTTTAAGGAAGAAGATTCAGAGTGTGGGAATCTTCTTGTTACACACAAAATGACCTTCACAGTCATAAAACACATCTCGACCAAGTGCCTCCTTTGGGTCAGGCCTTGAAGATACAGCAGAAGACAGGCAGCCTTGGTCCTGCCTTTGTGGGGGCTCACAGTCTAGTAGGGAGGGAAAGCCACATGTTGGACAAGGAGGTCAGAGGAACTTTGGGAAGTGTTGGAGAAGGGCTTGACTAACAGAAAGCCATGGTGTGAAGACCTAAACCAGGTGCTCAACCCCAGTTTTTCTCAATATGATTTATTTCAAATTCTTATGCCTGTGTGTCCCCTACCCCCAGAGATTCTGGCGTGTGCTCTGGACATCAGGATTTTTAGAAGCCCCCCACAATGATTCTGCTGGACAGCCAGGGAAGGAATTAGATGTTAGTTAGAGTCAGGTGGGAGGCATTGAGCTCTAAGGGAAGATGGTCAGGAAGCAGAGAATGAGGTGAAGACCCCAAAGTTTGAAGGAAATATATAGACTTTTCCAGGAAGTAGAGGAAGGCCCTTGTACCTGGAGCAGAGCTGGAATGGGAGGAGGTGAGAGGTGGGATG